TTCATTAAAACTAATAAAATTTAATAAAAAAAATAAATTACCAAACAAAATCATTAATATCACATGCAAACAAGATTCTACTGAAAATTATCCAAAAACAACTGGAACACCACATCAACAGAGAACTGCCAGATGTGCAGGCTAGGTTTAGAAGAGGCCTTGGCACAAGGGATATTATAGCTAATGTTAGATGGATCTTGGCTGGAAGCAGAGCATAGAAGAGGAATCTGTGTTTCATTGACTATGCAAAGGTATTTGACTGGATGGATCACAATAAACTGTGGCTCACTCTGAGAAGAATGGGAATCCCAGAACACCTGACTGCGCTTATATGAAACCTATACTTGGACCAGGAGGCAGTTTTAAGAACAGTGGAAGGAAACATTACCTGGTTCAAAACCGGGAAGGGTGTATGCCAGGGATGTGTCTACTTTCTGTGTTTTTTCAATCTATATGCAGAAAAGAGTATTATCTGGAAGGTTGGGCTCTATAAAGAGAAATGTGGCTTTTCCTGTGAGCGGTTTCAAGTAATCTCCCAACATGGTTCACTACTCGCGTGACTTGGAAAACCCCACAAAATCATGCAAATCAAGAGGCTCAAATCTCCGGGTCCATTTTAAGAACACCTGAGAAACTGCTCAAGCCATCAAGGTATGCATATCTGGAAAGCCAGCAAGTATCTGAAAGATGTTACTTTGCAAAAGCAGTGTGTGCTCTTCCGACGATACAATGGTGGAGTTGGTAGGTGTGCCCAGGCCGAACAGTGGGGTTGGACGCCCAAAAAGAGTGCCGAGCTTTTGCTGCATATGCTTAAAAATGCCAAAAGTAATGCTGAACTTAAGGGTTTGGATGTTGATTCTCTGGTCATTGAGCATATTCAGGTGAACAAAGCTCCCAAGATGTGCTGCCGCTCGTACAGAGTTCTTGGTCAGATTAACCCCTACATGAGCTCCTCCTGCCATACTGAGATGATCCTTACTGAAAAGGAACAGATTGTTCCTAAACCAGAAGAGGAGGTTGCCCAGAAGAAAAAGATCTCCCAGAAGAAACTGAAGAAACAAAAACTCATGGCTCAAGAATAAATATGTCATCAAATAAAAGAAAAATAACTTAAAAAAAAAAGAGACAAATGTGACATCAGAATTGGAGGAAGAATCATCAACAATCAGTGTTATGCAGATGACACAACCCTGCTGGCTTAACGTGAGAAGGACCTGAAGTGCTTGCTGCAGAAGGTCAAGGATTGCAGCCTTCATTATAGATTGGAGCTCAACATGAAGAAAACAAAGATTCTCACCACTGGGCTTGATAGGCAGCGTCATGATATTTGGTGAAGAGATTGAGACCATGGCCTGTATCAGACGCACCTTAGTTTCCAGAGAGACACCATTGCTCTTCAGTACTTTGGAGAGGTCCCTAACAGCAGACTTTCCCATGGCAATGCGCCTTTTAATTTCCTGGCTACTGGTGCCAAGACTGTTAACTATGGAGCCAAGCAAACTAAAGCTGTGTACAATCTCAATCTCTTCACCATCCATCCTGATGCTGCCAATTGGTCCAGTGGTGAGAATCTTTGTCTTCTTGACATTGAGCCTCAATCCATATTGGAGGCTGCAGTCCTTGACCCTCTGCAGCAGGTGCTTCAGGTCCTCTTCAGTTTCAGCAAGCAGGGTTGTGTCATCTGCATAACGCAGATTGTTGATAAATAGTTCCCCAATCTTGATCCCACATTTCTCCTCATAGAGCCCAGCCTCCCGGATAATCTGTTCTATATATAGGTTGAAAAGGTATGGACATAGGATGCATCCCTGGCGTACGCCCTTCCCAATTTTGAACCATGCAGTGTTCCCTTGCTCTGTTCTGACGATTGCCTCCTGGTCCAAGTATAGGTTTCACATTAGAACGATCAAGTGTTCTGGGATTCCCATTCTTCTCAGAGTCAGCCACAATTTGTTATGATCCACACAGTCAAATGCCTTTGCATAGTCAATGAAACACAGAGAGACATTCCTCTGGTATTCCCTGCTTTCAGCTAAGATCCACCTAACATCAGCTACAATATCCCTAGTACCACGACCCCTTCTAAAGCCAGCCTGGACTTCTGGTAGTTCTCTGTTGATGTGCTGTTCCAGTCGTTTTTGGATAATCTTCAGTAAAATCTTGCTTGCATGTGAAATCAGTGAGATTGTTCTATAGCTTCCACACTCTGTTGGGTCATCTTTCTTTGGGATAGGAACAAATATAGATCTCTTCCAGTCAGTTGGCCAAGTGGTTGTTCTCTAGATTTCTTGTCACAACTTGGTGAGCACGTCCAGGGCAGCATCTGTTAGCTGAAATCTGTCAATTGGTATACCATCTATTCCTGGAGCCTTATTTTTTACCATTTCCTTCAAAGCAGCCTGAACTTCTTCTTTCATCACCATAGGCTCTTGCTCATATGTTGTTTCATGAAATTCTTCTGTGTCTGCCAATTCCTTTCGATACAGTGACTCAGTATATTCTTTCCATCTTCTTTTAGTAATTCCTGGATCATTTAACATTCCGCTGAAAGCATCCTTGATTATAGCAACTAGAGGTTTGAATTTGTTCAAATTTGATCCATTACTAATAAATTTTTACTCAGCACTCATAATGCAAAAGCAATCAGTTTTATCTCAAATTATTAAACCAGGAATGCGTAATTTGAATTTTCATTTCTAATGTAAAATGATTTCTAATGTAAATTAGTTCTGCAATATTAACAGTGGAGTAGAAGTAATACCTGGCTTCAATATCTATAAGTGTCCCAAACACCTCAGAGAATCCATTAGATATTTTATAATACAATCAAGTCAAATGCAATTTTTAGCATGAAGAGGAATCAAACACTGCTCCTGGCTAAAACAGAAATTATATAAGCCAGGTCTCAAGGCCCATTCTTACCAATGTAGCAAACAAATTAGGTCAATTCATTGGTTGCCAGAGTGCTATCCCATCTAATGGCTGTACCTCAAATATTAGGCCTTTGACTTGGCAGACTAAAAACAATCTGGATCAAGAGCAGGACAAAAAGAGAGAAAGAACTGAAAAATCTAAAATGTAGAGTGTTTGTGTGTGTATATGTGTGTGTGTGTTGTTGTTAAGTGCCACTGAGTTGAAGACGTTTCACAATGACCCTATGAATGAAAGACCTGAACAACTGTATAACTTTCATCGTTTCTCCATGTTCATGGAGTTTCTGGAGGCAAGCTATTTTGGAAGTGAATGCCACTCCTGCTTCCAAGCTTATTTCAATCAGGGAGCTCCAATGAACACTGTCTACCATGGATAACCATTACCGTATTTGACACATTAGGGTCACAGTGTTTAGCATCACAGCAACCACAAGTTACCTCTGTACAGCAATGCACAGACGAGTATATGTGTGTGTCTGTCTATCTATCTATCTCTATATCAATAATGTATATAGTTTGAGAAAGGAGAGAAATAGAAAAGGGCATGAAAAGAGGAATGGATACACCAAAAAAACAAGGGATTATTAGTTGAAATATTTTTATATATATGTGTGTGTGTGTGTGTGTATGTGTGTGTGTGTATGTGTATAAACAATGACATATATAAAAGAATATGGTATCAGAAACCTTGAAAATTGGCTTTTCTATCCATTGTGTTAGCCCCCATAAAGGGCATGGTTTCCAGCTACTTTAATTGTCGACATATGGTCTTGCAAATTATCAACAACTCTGGGACCAATGTAAGAGAATGTTTTCCACACTGTAAAAAAAATATAAATGGCGGGGACAACAGTGGAGAAATTGGGAAGAGAATATGGCAATGTATAAGCAGAGGAACTCTGGAGATAAACGTCACAGTTAAAGGTATGCTTGCTGATGACTGAAGGAAAAGCTGACTTGTAACTGCTCTGAGAAAGCTTGCTGGATGATTAAGGAAATCAGAAGTTTATTTTTGCTGTTGAACGGAACCTGGACTTCCACTAACTGAGGAATTTCATCTTGTTGTTAATCTAGCTTGAGACTGCTGGAATAAATCTGGACTTTGTATTATTTTTTGCCACCTCTATTCCCCAACCTATCTTGCTGTTAATCTAGCTTGAGACTGCTGGAATAAATTTGGAATTTGTATTATTTTTTTGCCTCCTCTATTCCCCAACCTATTTTTCAAATAATTCCCACAACAGTGAGTAAAGTCTGTGAGTCAATTTGCAACAAATATTGTATCCTGTAGAAACAGGTACAGGAGCATGTGGGGTGGTATGTCTGACCATGTAGCTATTTATTTATTATTATATTATTCATGGGGGCAGTTCCCCTTTATGAAGTGAAGTCAGATTTGGGCCTCCCCATGTTACCACCACTCCTTTCACATACAACAATTTAAAAATGTTTTTATGATATTGTTGTTTGGGGCTGCTGAGTCAACTCCAATTCACTGTGACCAGCAGTGAACCATACTGTGTTCACTGTGAACAACAGATCTGAACCTTGCCCTATCCTGCATCACCCTCACAATCTCCATCATACTCAAGTCCACTGTTGCAGGCATTGTGTCAATCCATCTTGGTGAGGATCTTCCTCTCTTTTGTTGATCCTCCACCTTTATCAAGCTTGTTATCTTTTTCCAAGGATTGGTCTCTCCTAACAACACACCCAATATGATATGAAATTTCATCATCCTTGCCACTAAAGAGCATTATAACTGACAAAAGACCAGGTGCACAGAGATAGGGATATGCTATTTATTAATTTGTATTCTCACCTTGTTCAGGGTCTTCCAACAGAACTCCTCTTTTAATTAGCTCTTCTCTTGGTTTTCGCATAGATATCTTTCGCTCTAAAACTAATATTAAATTGGAAAACAGTACTCAGAAATGTGGCAGTTAAAGTAATTTTTAACACTCTACAGATAAAAATTTCTATTCACAGGAGAAAAAGAACAGAGAATTAATTTAACATAATTTCCTTCCTATTCTGTACTACTGGGATACTATTATTTCCAAAAGAGGCTGTGTTAGTTATCCTTTTTAAAAAAAGATTAATTTATGAATGAACTATGTGTGAGGGAGAAGTGGGCAGAGTAGAAAAACATAGTATTTAATATTTGCTACAATTTAAACAGGAATTCCCTTCATTACTGTATAAATTAATCTTATAAAAAATACCACTTGTAAATCTTAGTATTTTACCTTCTGATGTCTCTTTAAATTTATCACTACTTTTTTTTTTCCGCCACTTCCAGGGTTTGAAGATCTTGCCAAAGCCAAAGAACTTGCTCTTCCTTTTGGTGGGAGGTGTTGTGTCTCCTGCTTCCACACTGTCCATGATCATGCCTGACTCTGCAGTAGGCTGGCCTGTTTCCTCTGTTACATGGTGAGAAAGAAAGGGAAGAGAAGAGCTAATTTATTATTTTAGCAACATTTTTAAAATTTCCCTTTCCCTCACTTCCTGTAGTGGTTGGAAAGGATGAGAACAACGCTAACAATCATGCAGACAGTCAGACTCCTTGACATCACAGGGACACTAAACATCAATATTCCTAACAAATTACTAGGGAGGAAAAGGAACCAAACCAAGCTGATGATTATGATCTTGGAACAAATATTCAGTGTGACAATTAAAATCAGTTAAAAATCTTTTAGACACACTTCACTTGTACTTTGAAAATAGTGTCTTACTAGTATTTCACCTCAGCATAGTCTACTAATGTTGCAACTCATCCTCTTGGTATGGGGGAAAGCCCTTCCTTCCCTCCCTCTTTCCTTCCTTCCTTCCTTCCTTCCTTCCCTCCCTCCCTCCCTCCTTCCCTCCCTCTCTCCCTTCCTTCCTTCCTTCCTTCTTTTTCTATTTTAACACTGAATGAAGCAGGGAATTCTACCGTTCCTTAGCGAGTCATTATTCTCTGTTAAACAGTGCCCTGTTCCTGCCCTCCCTCTTCTCATTAAGTGTTAATTTTTGGGAGTGGTAGCACATTAAGTGTTAATTTTAACTGTCAGAGAGGTGGTACCTTTGGATCTGCAGCATGACTCCCTATAGACTAAGCCACCAGAGCTCACTATCTGTTTATAAGACTATTCTATTCTGTCATAAATAAGGACCGTAGGTAGTGTTAGAATACTAACATGGGGTACAGGGCTGGGTTATTTTTTAAATGGAGAGATCTTTTTTTGCCGGAAGTAGAGATGAGACTTGCAAATCATACATAGTATCACACAAAAAAATAATCCTGACTTTATGGATGTGACAAAAACTAAACAAAAAAAAAACCAAAATAAAAAAACCCCAACCAACATACTGAACAATAAATTTGCAAGACTGAAATGAAAGGCCACAAGCCCTTCATTCCGACTATACATGCAGGGCCTGGTTAGTTAGCTTTAATGGCAGAGAAAGGAGCAGCCAAGGCTGGGCCAGAATTTTTTTTAAAAGGCAGGAAGACAACAAAAAAAGCAGGAAGGCAACACAATACAGTTTTGCACTCCACCTCCTGTCCCAGGGTTTTCGGAAGAAGTCTAGAGGGGAAGAAAAAAAGAGTCATGTGGAATAACAGTCCTGAAATTAAAGTGGGACCTCTAATTCATACTGTATCATAACATGTGATAAGTCAACACATTTATTGTAAAGAATTTAAAATCCAAAACAAATAACACTTGTGGATTTTTTTAACACTTGTTTTTTGAGTGATAAAGGGACACATATATGTACTAAGACCCATATTTAATCTTTTAATATTGTAGGTATTTTTCACAAAGAAAAAGATATAATGGACAAACACTAATTTTTCATAAAGTTATCATGTTCAATCTTTTTTACATAGGATGTTTAGGGAAGTGATAATCAGATTTACATAAGTATAATTACTAGAGTGACTGTAGCAATGAATGGGAGCTCTGGTGGCATAGTCTGTGGTTTGAATCCACTGCTGGAGGAGGATGGGCAATCTTCTGTGTGATTTACTGACTCTCTGAAAATCCACTGGAGTTCAGCAATAAGACAGAAATGACTGCTGACACATTAGCCTGCTGTGCCCAGAAGACAGAACAAGTAGGTCTTGATTATAATGCACAGCAGACTAAGAAGAGAGAAGTCAGTGACTTTTTTCATCCTACTTTCACGATTTACTTGAGGACATGTCTTACTTGGATCTCAACTATTTTACTTCCTTAAATGAAATGCTCTAGAATCTGATTATAGCACTGCACAACATTGGGGGGGAACCCCACAAAAACCCAAACCAAACCCATAACCACCCCAAACAAACAGAGATATTAGAAGAATCCCTCCCATACAATTTCCCTCAATGGTATCCTAGCATGGGCCATAAGAACACGAGTAGGGTAAATACGTGAGAAGCTGTGCTGTAATCCTAAAGGCACACAGTTCAAATTCACCAGCTGCTCTGTGGGAGGAGGATGGACAATCTCCTCCTGTGCGATTAATTGCCTCTGAAAGTCAGCGATGTGTCAGTTCTGACTCAGCAGCATGCAACAACAACAACTTTAACTGAGACAGTGTTCTCCTGCTTATGATACATTATTAAGAACTGAAAACATTTCCAAGCATTCTTATTATAATATTTAACATATGCTAACAGCAGTATTTAATAAAACCCACTACATTTCAGAAACGGAGCAACATAATGTAAGTGTTCAGAGGGCAAGGAAAAATTGAAACTTTTAAGTCAGCTATCCTATCAGTGAGTAAACTTCACTTTGATGCCAGTCTGTGTTCTTTATTTGTCCTTCAGGATAAAAGTTAATTAAGCTACCATGTCTTCTGACATTCGGTTTTATTCACAAATTTTTTACCATACAATTTACAAAATTAGACCATTCCTTAATCTTCAGGAAAACCTAGATGATTGGTAGCAACTGCTAGACTTATTCTAATAGTTTAGTGTACAGATTCTCAAACTGAGATTTTTATTTAAAGCTTCTTTTGTAACTAACCTGTCACCCGATTACTGGTTTTTCTTTTGCATTCAAAGCTTGGATGTGGAGTTGCTATACACACTATACTACTATACAACTGCTATATGCTATTTCTTCAGTTATCAGTTTAAGCTGAGATAGAATCTTCATGATAAGGTATGTGAGAGAGACAAAATTCCAAAGTCATATTCATAGACAATTTCGGTGGCAACTAGTCTAGAAGTGCTCTGGAAACTCAACTTTTTAGCCACTCAACAACACCACTCAGTTAACAAAAATGGTGATAAAGGTCTTCCCAACCACTCTTTCTTTAGGTCCCTGCTGAAAGACATGTATCCTAAATCATGAGGTTTTCTCTTTACTTAGAGCATAAATATATTAGAAAATGAAGCTTATAAGAGATAGTGAATTAATTATTCTTAGTAAAGTAACTGTAAGGAAGAAAGATGGGCAATGTCCTGTGCAATTCATACAGTTTCACTGGAGGGTCAGCTATGAGTCAGTTCTGACTGGATGGCAATGAGTGAATCAGGGAATGTAAAGGAAAAATGGTCAATTATTTTCTTTTCCAAAAAAGGGAAATCATAAGAACTTGATTCTATGTACATGGGATCATCAAATAATTAAATATATTATAGAGGCAGAGAGTCAAATGTTCCTTCCTTAATTCCTCATGTATTCTCAAAAAGATAAAATGGTAAATGGAAAGAAAAGGATAACTATGTTAAAATTCATTAGAAAGGTCTACTACTAACTTAAACTTTGAAAAATCTAACAGGAACAGTTTTCTCATTGTCAAATCCTTTTAGAATACACATTAAATAATTAAATTCATGAACAGAAAAAAAATTAAATTGATAATCTCATATAAATTATTATTTTCTTTTACTATTGTTTTATTAAAGAATGTATGACTTTTATGACCATCTTGTGAAAGAAAACAGGCACATCATAGCAAAAGTAAAATCCTGCTGCAGGAAAAACTGCTAAAAAAACAAAACAAAATAAAAAAAAAAACCCCACAAATGGCTGAAATAGTACACTGATAAGGAACTGCCAGAAATACATGCTGGATTCAGAAGAGACCATGGAATGAAGGACATCAATGCTTACGTCAGATGGATCTTGGCTGAAAGCAGAGATTACTAGAAAGACACTTATTTGTGTTTTTGTGGCTTAACAGGCTGACTGTTCAAAATGGCTTTCCTCGGCCATTGCCATTGCCTTTGACAGATTTTTAAATGAAGCAGGTTCAGCAGCTGAAACTGGGAATCTTACAACCAGCAAGGAAGAACTGAATATAAAGAGCACATCCTCTGGGGCCAGAGATTCCTACACCAGTCAGAGTGGGACTTACGAGAGCACTAGCAGCCAAAGTGGAGAATCAAAGGCTGACATGAGGCAGAGCTGACTTCGGCCTGCTGCTCCATGGAGCCAGAGGCAGAGGTCTTCATCCAAGCTTGCTGGAGGACTAAGAGGGGAGGAGTGAGGTGGAGAGATGCCCTAACTGGCACAACTAAAATAGCTTTGTTACACTGGCCTAAAGCCACAAGGCTGAAGGGCCTATATGAGCACATTTAAGAAGCTGTCCTGACTGAGAAACTGCATCCTTTTGCCAGCTTAAGAGTTGTAACCTGTTAACTTCTCTCATAAACCCTACAATCTTGAGTATGGTTTGGTGAGGTCTGTACAGCTACTGCCAGGGATTCCAGACCCAGTAAACCAGCAGCGTTGGTGTTGGAATTGATAGAAGTAGTGTGGGAGCATGGTGGCTATGTCTGGCTCCAAAGGAATTCGTTTTAGACAGTGGATGTGCTTGATGGGGACAGCTGCTCCTTGTGGAGTCAGAGGTGATCAGATACGGCTGCTCTCACTCTTTTTAAAGTTTCATTGACTACTTAAAGGCATTCAACTATGTGCATCTTAATAAATCATGGATAACAATGAGATGAATTGGAATTTTAGAATACTTATCAATGCAGATTGATATCTTTTCTACTATTCAATCTGTTTGCTGAACAAATAATTTGCTTGAAAGTGCTAAAAAGTAAGGTTGTCAGTTTAAAGACTATGGTGTCCCTAACACAAGCCACCATGGTATTTTCAACTGTTTCCAATGCATCTGAAAGTCTGACAATGAATAAAGATGACAGAATAATTCATGCCTTTTAATTGTGGTATTGGCAGTTAGTACTGAATATCCCACGGACTGCAAGAACAAACTAGTACATCTTGGAGGAAGTGCAACCAGAGTATTCCTTAGTGGCAAGAATGGTGAAACTTTGTCTCACATACTTTGGGTATGTTGTCAGGAGGGGCCAGTCTTTGGGAAAGAATATCATGCTGGGAAAGGTGGAGGGTCAGAGAAAGAGAGGAAGACCCTCAATGATATAGATTGTCAAAGTTACTGTAACAATAGGCTCAAGTCAATC